TTTTGAAAAGCCGCATTATAGAACAGAAACCAGAGAGTGGAGATACCCATATAACTGCTGGGAATAGAGAAAGGTGGATCCTGGTGGCCATCTCCGTTCCTCTCCTGCCTCCATTTCTCAGCACTCACTCCTGAGAACAGAGGGAGGTCTTGCTCAGTCTCTTACGGGACATTCAGTGAGTGTTCTAAACCCTCTCTCCAGGAACTCTAAGAGACTTCTTTTCTTTGAGGAGCAATTCTTAATCGTAGCCCTATCTGAGGAACTACTGGAAACTGATGACTTCTGGGAAGGGGCAGGTCTTTTAAGGGCATGACTCATAGGCTCCAGTGGCTAGATCCACATTGAAGGACATTTGGGGACATAAATTTGACTCTGTAGACACATATAATAAAGTACATTAAATTGGGTGGGGGTAGTAAGGGAGGGTGCAGATAGGGGAGGGCATCTAAATACAATAAAATATATTGTATGAAGTTCACAAAAATTTAATAAAAAGGAAAAAATATTAACAATGAATGGTTGCACTGCAAATCAGTCAAAAATGAATAAGGACATTAATTTTATAAAATTTAATACATGCCAAATAAAGGAACTGTACTTGCAATAAATTAAAAAAAAATTAGGGTCCACAGTTGGCAAGAGCCTCAGCTTTTGCATAGCTCAAACCAAAAATGATAATAACATAGGAGCCAGCTCCACTGTCCTAAAGAACTGTGTTAGACTGGACTTGGGGAGTGCAGAAACCAGGGTGCAGTGGGAAGAGCTCAGAACTGATGGACTGTTCTCTACTGTAGGACACGGTTCTTCAGCTGGGAAGGGCTATAGACTCACCAGATAGATGTGGTGGCCATCTCACTCTGCTTCTTTGGGAAGAAGCAAGGCTTGTAAACCACATGCGCATCTTTTTCCACCCTCTCCCCACTGCACATGCTTAAGCATGGTGAAGAATAAGCATCAACCAAGTTAGCAAGCCTGAATTTGCCACAGTACCAGGGTCAGTGCAAGGATGGACAGCTAGAGCTAGTTGGGACTGAAGACTTCTGAGAGATGATGACAGCAGCCTCTGCTGAGACTGATAGAGAAGCTCGAACTTTAGCCAATGCCAGCAGATAGGGGCAACTCAGGCCTAGGTGCTTCCTTCTAGAACATCAGTAACTTGGACACAATGAGACCATCTCCATTACAACCCCTGGAACAGAGGCAATCTGGGAGCTGAGGCAATCAAAATCCTCATTTATTCAATTTTACCATCGTAAGAATCAGATCACTAAGTAGAATTTATACACAATAATTCTTTTGCACATCCGAGTTTGTCGACCCCGACTGCACTTGCTCCACAGAACTACGAAGCTGACAAAGGTGGATGGTTCCCTGCTGCCATGTAGGACACAAGGCACACCTCCTAGCATGCCTCTTGGAGGTCAGGGACGTCTTATCTGGGTAGGCTAGCAGAGGACAGCAGCAGTGCAAAGGAAAATGGCGTTGAAGTATGCTCACATGGCCACATGCTCAGGAATGACAAACAGGAGCCGCAGTTACCTGCAATGGGTTGTGTAGATCAGCCAAAGATTGCAGGTTGTTGGACACACAGGGCATAGGGAATCTTGAGGGGCTGGGCAGGGGATGGCATGATGTTTGCTTTCAGAACCCTCGCTCTGGGTGCACCTGGACAGTGGCTGAGAACTGCTACAGGCTGATTTTAATTGACTTTTGTTTTCTCTAGTATCGCATTGCTCCTAACCACACCCATATCTACACTGCATGAGAAAGGCATCTTTTCCCAGATGTATAAACTAAGAGTCCAGGAATGGAAAGTGAAAATAAGTTTAGTCTGAAAATTTCCAGAGTGTTAACAGCCTGGATCTTGATAATTCAGATCCAAACTAATTCAATATTTATATTTAGCACTCAGAAATCTCTCCCCTCCCCCACCTTATGCATGTGTACATGTAGCATTCTTAACTAAAAATGTTATTAAAAGCATCTAATGAAACTGGGAGACAACTACACTGTTATACACTGTGTAATTCCTACTGCTGGGTGCAGCTGCCCTCTGGTGGAGGTGGGCAGTGGTTTCAGGGAAGCCTGTTTCTTTGGGGTGGCTTGATGTTTCCAGAATCTTCCTACTATCTGCTTCTTGAGACCCACCAGTGATTCTGTCACCCACTGATACCTCATAAATTAATCTCTTTCTCTTCTAAGAGTTGGTTTTGCTTTCTACACACTGACCAGAAGAGGTCAAATTAGTACTTCGTGAAAAGAGATCTGCAGTGGTTCAGGTCAGGCACTGTGAAGGCAGACTGCCTGGGTACACTGCTGAGCCTTTGTGTGTGTCTGCAGGGGTCAGAGGCAGGATTCTTACAGGGCTGTATGCTGATTGAGAGTCATAGGAAAGGCGCTGTTAACAGTGCCAACACACAGTAGTTGCTCTACAAATATTTGTCTTTATAGTATTAAAACACATAGTTTAACACTGTAACAACTGCCAAACTAACAATTTACTGAGAATGTCTGAAAGATTTTCAGGGATGAATTTCAATTACTTTATAGTTCAAAACAGAAGCAACATAAAACTGTTACCATTAAATAACTTTGAACTTGGTTGGTTAACACTCAGAGGGCAGTTTTAAGGACAAACAATTGTGCCTCTCCTATCCAATACAAGTTAAGCGGGCTTGCTTCTGACCTACTTTAAAACGGGCTAGTCACACATTACAAAGGCTGACTGGCTGGCATTTTGATTGCTATATTTAAACTCTTAGAAATTAAAAAATAATTATTGGTTGTCTTTTAGCACAACTATCTGCTACAGTTTGTTCAAAAGGAAAATTCATGGCAGGGAGAATGCGATTTTTTAATTGAAAAGATTTTATTTGTAATTATACGTATGTATGTCTTGAGTGTGGATTTGTACATGTGAGGGCAGAGCTCCTGGTGGCCAGAAGAGGGCATCGGATCACCTGGAGCTGGTGTTAAGGTGGTTGTGAGCTGCTGGGCATTGGTGGTGGGAACTGAACTCGCCGTCTGCAAGACCAGTATGCGCTCCTAACTACAGAACCATCTCTTTAGCCCCGAGGTGAGTATGTACGCCTCTCAGTGGACACAAACCAGTATTATTTATTTAAAACAAAGCCTATCTTGTTTGGAAATTTTCTCATGTTATTTCAGAAATGGGGAATGAACACATTCTATTATTTGCCTCTTAGTTATTTAAAAAAGAAGGATGTTTATTACCTTTTTTTCTATACTTAGGGCTTAATGTTCAACTGAAACTTAGTAATTAGTGTAATTTACTTCTGAAACAAAATGATATACTGAAATTAGCAAATCCTTTTGGTAAGTTTTGTAATAGAACTTTTCTAGAAACGAACCTGCTCAAAACAGCAAAAGGAGTGATAACACTTACTATGTTAAGAACAACAAAGTTCAGCTTATTATTTTTGTAAAAGACTTTTCCGGTAAAAATAATAACCCTAGATTCTAGGAAAACCCTATCTCTGTCATTATCTCTAGACAAATGAAACTTCTTACTGTGTGGTAAATATGGATCCTTATATTTACAGATAAGTATACCATTCACCACTTATCAAAATAATCTTCTTTCTGAAACAGATGGAGACTACTATAGAGTTCCACAACTGGTCACACACAGAGAATATGTGTCTGAGAGATGCCCAGCACGAAGTGACACATCTACAGTGGAACCTCTACACCTAAGGATCATGGAAGATGGCGGAACGGGAGAAAATACTAACATATCTCTCAGCTCTCACCAGCAAAACTTCCTTATGCAACAGAGGTGATTAACACCGAAGGCCACAATTGGATGAAGTGTAGCGAATAAGAGACTGCAGAGTGGGTGTCCCTGGATAGGACTCCTAAGTTAAACCTCACCCACTCAGGGCTCAGGGACCATTGTGGAAGAGGGAGTGGAAAGATTGTAATAGCCAGGGTTGGTGCATGGCCATAAAGAAACAGTCTTCTAGGACTCTGAGAACTTGCAGCAATGGTAACAGCATGCACAAGACCCATGCAGACTCAATCAGACAAAAACCCAGCACAGAACTAGGGAAATGGGCAGGAGGCCCCACCTTAGCCGAGAAACTATTGGCAGCTGGTCACTGTTGGATGAGAGAGCTGATCTTCTTTAAGGGAGTGTCTCTAGATAGGCTGACTAGAGACTCCAGTGGATGAACTCACAGTGACGGACATCTGGGCACACAATTTGTAGATGGGGGAGGGGGTCTAAATATGATTAAGATTTATTGTATGAAATACATAAAAATTCAATAAAATATACATAAAAACAATAATCCAAAGTGAGCACTGAAGTAGAAAGAACAGGAGTCTTACAGTGAGGTCACAGCCAGGGCGAGAAGGCTGAGGGCCCACTCAGCAAGAGAAACCTCAGTTCTAAATACCTATGACTAAACAAGCCTGCTGTGAAGACAAACAGTGCCTTAGCTCTCGGCCCCTCGGGTTTCCTAAAGGGACAAGGAGTTCTGCTCTGCTCTGAGGCCAGGTGGTCGGTCCCTCTGGGGCCTGACGGCATCTCTGTGTTTGGTGTCTTCATCTATAAATGGATGATACCGTCTTCATGGGGTGTGCTGAGGGTGAAGTGAGATGCCACCCACCGAAAGGACAGAAGCACACAGCTGCACTCACTTCTGTCTAAGGGTGAAAAGAGCAGGAATGGTGTTTGTCTTTCCTACTCCTACGGTCAGTAAAGGATGACAATATAGCCATCTAACTAGTCAGCAGCTACAAGACACCTGCAGGTGAATCTCCTCCCTTAGACTCTTCTGTGCACCATGGGAAGCAACGGGGCACCCCCTTAGCCTGTCCTCCTGCATTCCAACATCCTGTTTTTCTACAGCATCTCATTCAGCTTTCACATGGTCACTGCTCTCCTCCCTACAGCCAACCATAGTCCTTCAGACACTACGGTCCTGACAGGGGCACTGGACTGCTTGATGACAGTTGTTTAACCCAGTCAAAAGTTCACAATGAGAAGATCAATGTTTATTTATTCAACAAACATGGAATGCCTGATAGGACCAGATATCTACCAGTCAGAAAGCACAGAACATGTAATTAGCAAATAGAAAGGTTATAGGACATCAGCCTGCTAATGTTATTCCAGATGTCACTGAAAGTGACAATTTGCAGTGTTTCAACATATAGATATTAGAAAGCTAACCACAGTTGACAACATATAGAACAGCATAGCCCAGAATGCAACAATTGCTGCCAGCAGAGCTTCTGGAAACAAGCTGTGCACTGGATCACTGCAGCTAAAGTCTGTTCTCAGACAGCTGGACAGTTCTCAGTACTATGCCTCATGCCCAAGTGGTCTTACTGAGGTCTAAAAACGTAATTTCTAATTCGGAGATTTAGGTTTTCATTTGCTAACTAAAGGATGAACCAAACAATGAATGTTGAAATATCAATGATGAACCCAAATATTTCAAGGCATGGGGGTGGCCTTGACTTCTCTGTCAACAGCAGGCAGGAGCATCTGTAAGGCAGGCCTGGATGAAGAAACTCATCCACAGCAAAGGTCAACACGAACACATCTCTGAACAGTGCTGGAGACAGCACAGCTGCTGTGGTCCAAGAACAGTCTGGAATAGAGTGGCAAAGAGAGGCTGACCAGCAGAGCTCAGCTACTTTTTCATCTCCAAAATTGCACTTCCTGGTCCTCGGCTCTTAGCACTACAGATGTTGCAGTACTGCGCAAGAGAATTCTGAAAATATAATTAAAAAGCACACATTAAAAAAATATTCGGTCTACTTTCACATTAAAAAATATAACAGTAGCATCAGTCAAAGTTGACAGCTCTGATGTCATGAAGTGTATCTCCTTGCTCTGGAGATGATTTTAGCTCAGACAGGATCCAGTTCACTATTACTTTGCAACTGAGAGGACACCACAGAGCTGAGGAGATGGCTCAGTTGGCAGAGCGGAAACACAAAAACCTGACTGAGTTCAAGCCCTAGAGCCCACTTTAAAAATGTTTGCTGTGCTGGGACACCTCTGTAATCCCAGTGCCAGGGACAGGTAGGTCCCTGGGGTTCTCTGGCCAGACACACTGGACTATTTGGTGACTCCTAGGTTCCAGCAAGAGACCCTGTTACAAAAAGCAAGGTAGACAGTTCCTGAGGAATGACACTTGAGATTATCATCTAGCCTCCACATGCATGTGCAAACACATGCACATGTACCTGCACACACATGCACCTACAAACACATGAGTTCACACACACACACACACACACACACACACAAAAACAAAAACGAAAAATACCATAGAACTAGTAGAACTAGGATTATGTGGCCTGGGGGAATAAGTAACTTGACACAAAAGGATAACATCATCATGCCACACAGCTCAGGCCAGAGAAATCTGCATAACCATGAAAGTGTTCTCTACCATACAGCTCTGCAGTCCAGTGGTTGCTGGGTTCTTTTGCATGAACTCACTCAGCTGGGTATGCTCTTATGTTTACTATGGCACACCATATACTGTAACATTTGAAAAGTGAACAATATATCTTATGTGATATAAAAGCAAAATCATCCCTTCCAGGATTCTAGGACCGCTTTAGATACCCAAATCCACAGATGCTCAAATCCCTTATATAAAATGGCACAGATTCACACATAACCTATGTACCGCCCTGGAATATTTAAGTATTTTCAGGTTACTTACAACACTGAATATAATGTAATGCTACATAAATAGTCACACTGTTGACGGAATAATGACAAGGTCTACACATGTTCAGTACAATGCAGCCTCTCCCCCATATTTCTGATGCAAAGACAGTTAAATCCATGGATGCAGAACTCATGGATTTGGTTGGATGTAGAATTAAGAAACCCAGAACCACCAGGATGACCAGTTCTGGTAGTGAGCCCATCTCTCTGATCGGATCAATTTCTCTTCAGTTGACAGGGGCCACCATGCTTGAGCTGAAACTCACCATGCTGGGCATGGGCAGGCACTCTTTGTGGAACATGTGTCGGCAATGGAAAACCACCACGCTGAAAGGCTTAGCTGCATCTGTAGGAATTTGGAGGACAGAAGGAGAAAAACTCAATGCCACAGGCAGGTCAGAAAATGGTTAAGTTGTTCTTGAGAACAAGAATTTCCCAGCAACAGGCTGTTTGAGGATAGCCTCTTTACAAAAGCATTTTGAGGGGTGGGGAGACCAAACACAAAGCTGGTGTTATAGTCCCATTGCTTTGAATCATAATTCACAGGTTACTCTGTGTAGGTTATCAAGTGATAAGTGAGGGACACTCTCACAACAAATATGGAAATGCTTGCTGTAAACACTAGAGTGAGTGTGTGTGTCCCTGTGTGCACTGATCCTCTCCCAAGCCAACACTCACGTCATCTCTAGATGCCACATATGAAATCTAGTCTGTGGCCTGAAAAAAAAATGCTTTCCCTGTTCACCTCTTCTTTGCTAAGGCCTCTCACTGAGGCCAGAGGCAGACCTGGCTCAGGAGCCCAGGCTGACTCTGCATTTTACTGCACTTCTGCCTGGGTAGGTACTTCACCTGCTTCTGCTGTGTGGACTGGTTCTGATAATCCCTAGTGCCCTCAGCAAAAGCTGGGGATGGAACTGTATGGTGGGGTGTATGTGGCCCCATTCCACCGAAATTCTGCCTAAGCACTATAAAAGTCCATTGCAGTCTTGACATAAGCTCTTGGAAATCTAAACCTATTTCCTCTAGAGAAGAGCTTAAGTGGAAGGACTTCTAGTGGGACTGTGCTATTAAATAATTCCTTAACATCAAATAAATGTAAAGGTAGCTACATCTTAGCACCCCACCCTAAATTTGTATTTTAAAATATCCTAACAACTATGCCTTAATTTCTACTTTCAAATTATGAGTTTCTTCTTCTCATGCTTTTGTGTATGAAGGTCAGTAAGGCTCTCAGGCTCATGCTCCTGGAACTCTGCCACCCTGCGATAGGGCCAGCGCCATGGGCTGCAAGTCTCCCAGATGCTGATACACCCTGGTTTGAGGCCTCAGCTCTGCAGACAGCAGTACCAGAAGCCATGGCAAAATCATGTAAGTTTAGAGATAATAATTAGTTATTTCAAAATCTTTCCCTTCTAGTCATCTTACCTGTTGGAAGGATAGGAGAAAGGCATGATTCACAGACATTCTCTTCTGTAAGAAAGCACACATAGGTTAAGCACATTTCCATTTGTCTGGCCATTTCTTTTTTAAAATATTTTATTTATGATATTTTGTTTTATGTGTATGAGTGTATTGCCTGCATGTGTGTAAGTGTACCCATGTTGTACAATGCCCGTGGAGTTGGATCCCCTGGAACTGAAGTTATGGACAGTTGTTAGCTGTCATGTGGGTGCTGGCGATCGAACCTGGGTCCTCTGCAAGAGCAGCTGGTGCTCTTAACCACTGAGCTATCTTTTCGGACCCTTGCCTGGCCGCTTCTGAAAACAGGGTACATTGTTCTGAATGCTTATTTCAGTTTACTCACCATCGACCAGAACACCTTTCATTTGAGTTCGGTGCATTTTCCTCAGTAATGACAAAGAGTCAGCGACGAGAATTTTCTTGCAGCCTTCCCGAAGCAGAATCTAATGTGCACGTTTAAAAAGAAAGACCATTTTGAATAACTCAAATATTGGGATATGTCTTACTGAAGAATCATAAAATGCCAAAGAGGTACTTTCTGATTCTCCTGCCCTCCGTGCTGGGTGAGCCAGTCATCACTCTTGGAAATTTGCTTACATTTAATGGCTACACAGTGGCATTTCTAAAGTCAAATTTGTAAAGTCCCAAAGTCTGGCAAAGACCTTGCACTAACCAATTTAATTTTATCTCACAGGCTTCTCTAAACAGATTCTTTCTGGCACTTTGGTCCTTATATGACTCATTCCAGCCCAACCTTCAAGTCTTTGCCTAGGATGGAAAACTTGTCCTTCCCAAACCAACCACTCATTTAATAAATCCATCTATTCTCCCACAAATATGTCCTGGGTCCCTGTCATGTGCAGGGCACTGGCTGCAAATGGGAAACTGAGCGGAGGCCTTTTGGCTCCTGGCGGCACCCTTCCCTTCTTCACTGCTGGCTGGGAGCTTTGTTTGCTTCCACAGGTGTAAATTCACCACTGGAGGTTCTTCATGGCAGCCATGTACAGTAGCCCAAGCTCCCTTACAAACCCAAGAACACTAGTTGTAGGTGAATTCAGGCAGAGGTGGGCCCCAATCATGTAAAGGAAATTTTCAGGAAACAGAGAACCAAGGTCTGGGTTATAGTTCTGCACCTGCCATTCCTAGTCTTTCTGTTGGTGATGAGCAGGAAGTCACACGATACTTTTCCTGTCCATGGAGATGCTGCTATGAAGTGCCCTCTCTGCCTCCCTTTCATTATTTCTTATGAAACAATGTCTTACTAGAAAATCATCCTCCTGCCTCAGCGTCCTAAATGCTAGATTTATAGCTGTGCACTACAGTGCCTAGCTTTGAACTTTGCTGTCAAATTTTACTACAACGGAATTTTTTGATTCACTTTAAAAAAGACATTAAGATTTTAACAGAAATCCTTATAGCATATAGGAAGAGCAAAACCAAGAAATACTAAGAAAGTATCTACAAAATATTGATGCTAGCAAACTGTAAGAAATTCAGCAAGTAAGCATATAAAGCTGTTAGCCTCCAACACCAAAATAAGACTTGTGAGGAGCAGGGTCGGTTCCAGCAGCTCTGGTGAAGTGCTACAGAAGCATCTAGCTCTGACCCTTGAGTGTCCAGGGCCCATTAGCAGAGTAGCAGAGGAGGCAGGCTGCAGCAGCTGGGGGTCTAGACACAGCCATGGGCTGCAAAGAAAACAGCAACCCCCCTCACCCCTCCCCATACTAACAACTCTCCACTCAGGACTATATTTTCTAACAGATACAATCTGCTTGCAGAAAATATTCTGTAGGAAAAATTTCAGTTGTCAAAAAGCCAGGTGATACTGTCTACTTCTTCATTTAACTAAAATCCAAGGCTCTAAATCAGAAAAATATGAAAACATTAGGTCATTGAAAGGATGCTGGCAGGCAAGTAGACCTGAGAATGTGATCATCATCTATAGAAAAGCCTTGTATACTGAGTATCTCTGAGAGTTTCAGGCGACCAAGGGTGTCAAGGGAAGGAAGAGCAAACAGCAGCACAGAGTAGTATCCTCCACAACAAGCACAGCATTGACTGTGGCTTCCCAGGGGCTGGCGTGGCAGTGAGTCTGTGGAACTGAGCAGGCAGAACAGCGCTGTCCTTGAGATTCTACTGCCAAACTCCGAGAGAGGTGTAGTCCAAGAATCCCTTGTAGGCATTGCTGGCTCCAAGCCATCCTCACTTGGTCCTGACTTTCACCCTCCTGAGCTCTAACTGTCCTGTCTTTCAAGGTCACCTCTGCTTGTTTTCCAGGCAGGCCAGGTCTTCCAGCTACCTTTGTCAGTTTGATGTTCCCTGCCTTTAGGACACGCGTGCTCTCTTCTGTCACTATTCAGTGACTACTGCTCCTACACACACCATCTATCGTTTTGTCGCTTTTTCTTTTCAAAATATGCAATTCCAAAGGGGGAGAAAAAGAACAAGAAGAAAATACCCAAGTCCTTACCACCTAGAGCTAACGAACTCACTAGCATTTCACCATGTGCTTCAGATGGTTAGATCATGGCCTGTCCTTTAAGATGTTGGTCAATAAGCAGTCAGATCCCACAGCCCTAAGAAATCGGGCCATGCCTGGTACAGTGTTCTCTCTGGGACAGAGAGTTAAAAAGTCCTGCTGTATTGTGGGATCACAGCCCCTAATTTATGGTCTACCCCAGTACCTGGCTCCCCCATGCACCTTGTCATTTAGGCTACCCAAACTAAATTCCATACTAGGGTACTTCTTGATGAAGTTCCTCTCTAGGCTTTAAAGGGAAGCCTCTCCTTTTCATTATGGCCCCATCATACTGTCCCTGATATGAGTTACTGTCTGTCTATCTACCATTAATTAATTAATTAATTAATTAACTGAGACAGGATCTCACTATACAGCCCTGGCTGGCCTGGAACTCACAGAGATCTTCTTGCCACTGCCTCCTGAGTACTGGGATTAAGGGTGCAATACCACCACACCTGGTGTTACTGCTGTTTATTGATGCTCTCCCACCTCAAGGCCTGATCAGGTTCCCATGGTTGTGCTGCCTTCTCTCCTCATAACACTCACTTCCGAAGGGTAACTTTGAGTCAGCTCCTTTCCCAAGCCAACCACTGCTGCTCTCTTTTCTAGCACAGATTTACTTATTCTAGAAAATAAAGCCTCACTGACACACCTCACATGGTACTACATCCCATGAACTGTTCCTCCCACCTTATGAAGATAACTCTACCTTTGCTTAGCGTATGTCCAAGTAGACTATGTAGGTGGCTGGGTCTTACACAACACAGATCTGGTCAGTGAGGTACCAACATCAGACCTGTGAAGTAGCCTCTTTCAAATGAAAAACTCAAGCCTCATTAGGAAAAAACCTTTAGTTTCCTGCATCTTCCTGCCTGGAAAGTAGCTGTATAATCTGACATATTGCATCTAACTAGATGCCAAGATGCAGCATCCCTAAGGTTCATTCTCCTGTTGACGGATGGTTAAATTGTTTCCAGTTCACTGGTAAGAACATTCTGGTATACATTTTTGTGAACATATTTTTTATCTTTTAAGCAAATATTTAAGAGTCAAATTGGTGGACTATGTAGTAAGTACTGAAGGACAAAAGTAGGTCCTGAAAGCTTCTCACATTCAGTTATTACACTCTGGCTACCTTCGCAGAAAGCAGCAACCCCCAATGCCCCAACTGACCTCTCTGATATGACTCAATCCCAATCACAGGGTATAACCTGGACCAGAGTTCTGCATGACTGACCCTGCACCTCCCTGAGAGGACACAACCTCAGCCCCAAATCCCTCCTCTTCCTCGAAGGGAGAAAAATATAAAAACCATGAGTCTGAATGGGAGGGTGCACTCTCTTCCAGATCCTGGGCTGCAAGGAGGTGACCACCTGCTTAGGCCCCTGGCCACGGGGCCAGTGATCTCTCAGGTTTATTCTCTAATAAATCTGCTTGCTCTATATAAGGTCTGTTTACCTCATCTACTTCCTATTTCCTTACAAATGTATGTTTAAGTTATTATCAGTTTTCAAAGGTAGTCATATTATTTTGCATATTCCCACCTGTGAAGTTTTGCCCACCTGTGATGTTTTTAAATCTGCTAACTCTACCTATAGACCCAATTTCTTTAATGACTGTAAGTCTATCCTACTTGCTCTTGGTAATTTGTATTTTCCTAAGAAACTGTTCATTTGGGGACTTTCAAAGATATTGATAGAAACATTTTTTTTTTAA